CTCTCTCTCTCTCTCGCTCTCTCTCTCTCCCATCCGCAGTGCAAGCACTTTCAGATTCCACCAACGGCGGTTACAGGCCAGCGCTTTAGCTGGCAGAGAATGGGACTTTTAGCACATGTTAAGCTAGTATGACCCTCTGCCTGCCACAGAGGCAGGTTTTTTGTTTTTTCTTAAGTTGCACTAAACTGGCGTGTGAGGGTAAGTCCCTAGACTTGTTTTATTAGGAGTTTTGTTCTTTGAGTGAATCTTGGGTAAAAACATGGGTACAAAATTGCTCTTGTGTTAGACAAGAGAACATTTGTGGTGACAAGATCAGCTATTACCCCTTTTCAGCTACATAATGAGAGATGGAGATAGAAGTTGACTGTTTGTGGGTGTGCACATTAGCAGTAGATGGAAAGCAGTGACGATATAGATGGTTTTGTGCATTTTCAGGGCTTTCTTGTACATATGCAACATAAAGAGAACCGTGAGGTTGTTGTGGGTTTTTTTTTTTTTTCATATATCGCTTTTCTTTTGTTTGTTGTCATATGAAAAGGAATTTTTTTTACAGTACCGAATGTTTTTCTTTCATTTTTAAAGTTGTTTGAGAAGTTATAGTGAACAGATTCAATGTATATTGTAGCTTAGAGGCAAAGGGGAGAAAAACAAAACATGTTGAATGTAAAACCTATAAAAAAAAAAAAAAGTATAAAGTCTTTTTTTTGTTTTGTTCTTGTTGTTGTAATAGTTGCTGGCTAGTTTTTACTGCCTGTAGTGAACCTTTAACATGTCCTGATTTTTGGTATCCAAATCTTTAACACCCACAGACAGCTGTTGCCGCAGTGCTAAATCATATAAAATGGCCCGACCTTGCAGTATTGCTTTACTATCCTATTTTGTGCAATGAAACGCTTTACAATGGAACAAGAACTAACTTGCTTTTTGGTGACGTTCACACTGTTGCTGTTCTTTTACCCTGGCATTTTTTTTCTTTTTTTTTCTGTGTGGTTATCATTGTCAGAGGTGTTGTTTGTGGATTTGATGTTAAGTTTTTTGTTAGGCAGGATAACCTTCATCATGGGGCACCATGGAAATTTTTGATCCTGCCTTGCACATTCCAATAGATGGCATGCTTTTAGTGTCTTCCAACTTCTCACATAAAAACAAACAAAAAACAAAAAAACATATCCTTTCCACTTCCTTTTTACTACAGCGATTTCCCCGATCACCTTTTCCACTTCCTGTTCTTGTCCTGTCCAGCTTTATTGTGGTCACACCCAAGCCTTTACCCAGTATATTAAGCTAAACTAAACCCTTGAAATGTGCATCAGAAAGCCTTTGTTTTGCTGTTGTTTTGTTCTTTTTTTTTGTTTTTTTCAATTACGTCAAAATTGATGTGGTGCTTTTGTGAATGTCGTCTGTAAACCAGCAGCAGCAAAGCCAATAGATCTCCTTCCAAATCAAATGTAATGCATTGCAATGGCAGCTCTACACAGTTCTCTGCTTCTTCTACTACTTTGCTGTGTTGTTTGTCTGGGAGTTTACCCCGTCTGTCACTTCTCTCATCCGATGACCTATTTTTTTTCCCCGTACCATCTCGTGTTTTTACTGAGCCTTACGCTGGCTGGCATAAAAACCAACCTTTGCTTTTTATTTCTCGATTGATTGATTGATTGTCTGGTTGAGTTTGAGGTTATTTTGCATGTCTAGTATCGCTCATTTCCCCCCCTTTTTTTCTTTTTCGTTAGGAGATACAACACTGAAGGGTTTTATGTGTTAGATTTCCCCTCCAAGTATCCAATAACCCAAGGCTGATGTAGTCTGTTTTTCACCAGATGTAAAAATGCTCATTGCAGCCCGTAACACACACAAACACACAGTGCTAAGAGCATTTTGTGGGAAACTTGACGTCAGTCTTGGGTCTTCACTGGAGGGCAAGATTTCTCCTGTGTGTGGGCTTGGCCTCTGGTCCTCATCAGCAGTCCCACGCACATGGAGGAAGCACTTTCTGAGGAGTGGTGCACTCAAGGAGTATTTGTGTGAATGTCAAGCTCATGACGAGAGCTTGGAAAGATGGATGAAACATGTATGATGTCGATAATGTGATCTCTGTGATGTAATGTGACAGAAAGGAAAATAAAACCTAAATGGAAGCAGCCTTGTCATCGGGTTCATTTGTTTATATGAAGATGACTATGACTATCGAAGTGTAAGCTTCAAAGGCAACAGTGGATTCATTCCTTCTGCTTTTGCTACCTCGGCTGTCTTTTGACTTGTGTATTCCTCCCCCTTGTGGACAACAGGTGGTGTGACAGCACCATTGCTATTAGCTGTGTTCATGAAAACAAAAGGCACAGCACACACTGGTCACTTCTTTACAGCAGCAATTTCAAAATTTATTGAGACTGATTGGTTTTTGCAAATAATAGTCAAGCTAATTCTTCCACTAAACATGAATTAGAAAGAGGCTTGGACGGCTGGCGGGCCTGTCCCAACATCAAAACAGGAGGCTCATGGTTGACTGTAAAAATGTTTTGTGATCAGTACTATCAACCAAAAAAATATCAGCACAAGAGCACTTAAAATCTGCCCAAAACAAAACAGGTGTAAAAACAGGACAGGTTTTTTTTGATTATTTAGCACATTTTGTTACAAACACAGGATTATGATAATATAAAGTCAGCATCATATTGAACAATATTCCCAATGAAAATAAACAAACCTCAAGCTTCAAGTGCGACCTTTTACAAATCAGAGACCCTCTGAAACTTGAGGGAGAAAATAAATAATATATAATAGTAATATAAATTTATATATATGAAGGTATACACACATCACTCTTAGTAGAAGAACAAAATCTAAAGTAAAAAGCGCCAATTTTGAAATATAGTATAATATAGATATACCCATATCTATGGCTTCATGATTTGCACGTGTGAATCAAGCTATACAGGCTAAATGAGGATTGCAATTTGTACATGTCTAAGAATACCCATATTCATCTGCAATAGAGCAAAAAATTCCAGTTTTGCATCGTGTGGAATGAGACAGTTGTGTGCAGATGCCGAAGATGCCGCTTTGGTATGACAAAATGAACATAGGCATGCAGTTAAGACCACAGAATCAGGGCACAAAAGGTCATCAACACACAGTGGGAAGGAGAATCTGGTCGCCCATCATGATTTGTCTCTTTGAAGTTTTCAAAATCCTCGAACGTTTCGGCCCTCTAATCTGATCGGTCGCATCTCGATAATCTCTATCCATTGAGTTACAAATATTCAGTCGTCTCTTGGAAACAAACACTCTTGCAAGCACACAGGTGAAATGTCATTGAGGCACATATTGAGGGGTTGATGGCAGACGTTTTCCTGAAGTACAACCCAGAATGAGGAAGAAGACGTACAGTACAGATCGTGAGAAGAGCGCGGGGGCCGGGGGAGTCACACATACATCCAGATGCCTCTCAGGGGCCAAAACAGCACCACAGGACAGAGATTTGCCACCGATTATGGGCTCCTTCCACACCCACCATTGACATTCATAAACATATTCTACCCCATTGTCTTTCTTTTTTTTTTTCCACCCCAGAAAAGTACAACTGTTTGATAAGTGGGTCAAACAAAAGCACAATAAATAATGCAAATAAAATAAAGATATCTGTCAGACATAAAGAAAGCATCACAAATCTCACTGTACTGAGAGTCTCTCAGCAGGGGCTGATGGGAAGTGCAGTCCATGGCACCTACAGAAGAGGCCAAATGTGTGCGACCAGCACTGGCAACAAAATGTTTCCCAGAGTTACTACTGCAGCACTCTTTCCCTTTATGTAAATGAACTGGGGTCAAGCCAGGAAAGCACTGACATATAGGAATACAGCATGTGGACTCAACGCTCTACTGTCCGATAGACGTGTTTCGTCTGCACATTGTATTTCTACTTGATTGCGTGTCATCAAAGGCGTGAGACACAGCAGTAGCCAGAAAAAAGAAAGGAAAAAGAATCAGCCTGGTTTTAGGATGCGGTCTTCAAAAGCTAGCTGGTCCTTTCACACAGCCCTTCATATTCACAATAATACCATAACGTGCACTTTTTTGTTTTTTGTTTTTCCAAACTGTGACGAATAATGACAGGTTCAAAAAAATAAAAACAACCCAACAACAAAACTGTTTACCACAACAATAAATCCAGAAGCACCTGCACACACAGACCGTGAAACAAAAGCACTTTATGTATACAAATTACTAGATTGTTTTTGGTTCGATATTAATCAATTAGTGTACATTAGTGATGCAAAAGCATGTGCTGAATACATGTTTCAATCAATATCTAACAGAGATGTTTGACAGTGAATGTGTTTTCCCCCCTGGTAAAAAAAAAAAAGAAGAAATAAAAATAAAAGCAAATACGACAGAGAAAGCATAAACTGGCACAATAAAAGATTGATAAAAGCCCCATGGCTTGCTGTCCACAACAAGGCAAAGTATAAAAGCTTTTTTTTTCTTATACAAGATATAAAATATCCAAAAAAAAAAGAACACACCATAAAGCTTAGCATCCAGCACTTAATAATAATTAATAATAGTAACATCAACAACAAGTAATCATAGTTCTGATATTCATAATAATAAGACATGTCATCTGACTCACTTGAATTGTCAACTTTGCCGAAAACAAACAAACCAAAAAACAAAACAAAACATGGAAATAATCTTAAGAACTGAATATAGAATATCTTTTGGACACTGGACACTCATCCTTGCATACAAGCAGCCATCCTGTTCCACTCAACACGTACAGAGAGGGCGAGAGCAAGGGAAGGACTTCTGAAAATTAGGAATCCACAAATAAACAAACAGGTTTCTCAATAAATAGCTGTCAAACAAAACAAAGTCAAATTACACTCTCTGCAAAGAGCAAACTCTGAATTTCAAGCACAATTCTGCAATTCTTCTTCTTTTTTTAACCTTGCAAAGCCAGAGAAAGCATATCAGCAAAAGAATCGTGGAAAGAGTCTGCATATTCTGATTCCAGCAAGTGGAATTACATGACTCACTTAAAACGCGCACACGGCAACCGAACAAACCAAAAAAAAAATTTACACGAAGGCAGCTCCTCCTTAAGTGTGAGAGACTTAGCTCTCAGGTCCTATCGTCACAACCTCCAGTGTGAGAGAATCTGGACCAGAGAAAGCGAGAGAGAAGGAAAGAGTTATTAGTGTAGAGCATCCACTGTGTGCTTGAATTGATTTTAAAAACAGGAAGCAGAAACTGATGTCCACTCTGTGGGTGAAGACGGCTGAAACGCTAAAAAGCATCTTTCGGTCTCTCTGTCTCTCTCTGTCTCGCACAGCCTACAGTCCCCTTTTAAATTTCCACCCACCCCCCAAAAAACAACCCCAAAACCAAAACAAAACTTTATGTACATTTCTCAAAACTCCAGTATTTCTTGGAATGGATCAATAGAAACCAGGCGGTAAACTTAAGTGAAGAAAAGATTAAGGACCCCACTGAAAGGCATAGGCTATATAAACAGCAATCTGCACAAAGATTCAGTGATTTCTATTTCGTGATAACAGTCAAGAGGACATAAAGTATATCCTTAAAGGTAGGTGCGGTCACCGAGTTGTTTAGGTAAGTAAAGATCAGATCAAAAATGTAAACCACGGGTTCAGGGTATTGATAGGAGTCAGTTGTCATTAAAGTGCAAGTCTGTGGCAGTAGGACTCAACAATGTGCCATTGGGCTGCCCGGTCCTCTGACACACGTAGCTTTGCAATAGATTTAGACCCCCCCTTCACTCATAGGGAGACACTTTTCCCAGAAGCATTATAGTCATAGTTATAAGACCAAGACAGCCTTCCTCCTGGCTATTTCCCTACACTGTCAGTGATCCTTGATTTCCATGATGATTGTGATGGCAAACATACATAGCAGTCTGGCGTTGGCCATGTCCTTGGCAGCGCCGCCATTGATTCCTGTTTTGACAGAGTAGAAAACTACTGGACTCTGGCCTGAACCCTCGAGAAAAATAACACAAAAACACTGCATCAGAATTAAAGGAGGTAAGCAGAAAAAGCCTTGCACTGAGCCATCTCTTCCTCTACTATGGCAGTCAAGGTTGAGAAGAGCGTGCGTGCGTGTGTGCGTGTGTGTGTGGTAAAAGTGTGTGCATGTCGGTATGTGTGCATTTGAGTGTTACTCGTAATGGTATTAGATCATTGTCGCGCATCACCCTACAGCATTTCCACTCAAAGGAAGGCCTGCCCCAAGTGGGACGAATGGGTAAAGAGAGCAGAGGATTCTGCCTGAGAGATCACAAAAGATCTTCAGAGATCGGTCGATGGGTCACTAACAGGAGCCGGACAGACTCTATGAGATCCAGGCAAAGTCCTTCTCGCTCCCATTCTGTTGTTCCCCCTCCTGTGCCGAGGAGTCACTCTCCTCTTTCTCATTGTCCAGCGTTCCGTGCGTCTCAGCGGTCATCCCTGAGTCCTTCCACTTCCCTCTGTCTTCCTCCCCTTCTCCCAGCATCTCTCCGTCCCCTTCGACCATCATCTCCTCCTCCCCTTCTCCATCTCCATCACACTCTGCTTGGTCATCGTGGAAACGGTCGCCAGGATACAGCTCCTCCTCCGGAGAGATATCGCCACCCACCTCACCATTGTGGTCCAGGAGTGCGGCCATGCCTCTGCCAGAGCAATCAGCGCAGACGCCGTGGCGGCGGGAGCCATGCTTGATTCCAACACTGGCTGCTGACATGAAGACTCGGCTGCAGACTTTACACACGTACTTCTTGTCTTTGCTGTGGACCTGTGAGATGGAAACACAACATTTTTGCAAAATTTTTAAATTCCAAGTGGAAGAGCAAAAGCCTGCAACTTCACAGCCGAAACTGAATGTGAATCCATTCAAATTACAACTGCAGCAATATGCTAGTGACAGAATAAATAAAGAGGAAGAGGAATACAATTTATTTGCTGGCAACAGGTGACTGCCAGGGGGGTCATTGACCAGTCTGCAGACCTGTGTGCATGGGGCTTTAGCAATTTTCATTTGCCATCAACCTCCAGCAACCACTAATAACAAGTCAGGAAATACAAATATTTTCACTCACGATCGGTGATTACGAGATGGTTTCGGACCACTCTTTAGGTCTCTGTGACTGGGGCCTTGTTTACTTAAATTGTGAGCTAGGTTGTGACCATGATTGTAACATTTCCGGCAGACAAGCTAACATCATATGATGGATGGTCAAATGTCTGTAAAACCTCAAGAGAGATCTAGGGCCTCCTAATTTGACCTCTGTAAACACTTTCCCACAGAGTTTATACACTCACTGTGTCACTCGTTTTGGGTCACACTGAATAAAAAATTCTGCTTATTTTGTAAATCTTGCTCATACTGTGTTTCAAAATTGAGTATTTTCTGTGATCTGAAGACACACAATAAATTGCTAAGAACAAGAGAGTGGTTTTAAAGTCTGCGGTAAACCTCACATCACATCCAGTATTTTGCAACAAGATGGCGATGGTAGAAACGTTAATCCCAAGGCTTCAAAAGGGGCACTTCAGAACCCAGTGGTAGCTATGTCCATCTTTTATACTGTCTAAGATTGCTTTGAACTAAGTAGCTGGTGTCTGTGAATGCACTATAGCATCTAAATAAGCTGGCCTTTTGTCCAAATCACTTGTGGCTCCCCCCCAAAAAAACCAAGATGGTAATAGCATTGATGTTAAATCAAAGCTTCTACACAGGAATTAACAAACGAGTCGGTAATGTATATATAATGTTTTGTCTGTCTCTTATATATAACATCTTTAAATCTTCACTTTGAGTAAGGTGTAATTTGCTACCTCCTACATGTAAATGAAGGCCTGCACTCACCAGTGTGTGCCTCTTCATGTGCTCCCTTCTGGTGAACTTCTTGCCACAGATTTCACAGGGGTAGGGCCTCTCACCAGTATGGGAGCGCATGTGCCTCTTTAGGATGCACTGGTGCATAGCAGAGAAACTGCAGTAGGGGCACTTGAACTTTTTGCGGATCACCGTGAAGTCATTCACTGAAAGGAGAGAGAAGGGGAGGGAGGATAGAGAGAAAGAAGGGGGAGAGAAAAAAAGAATTGAAGGTTGAGTGAAGCTTGTTTAAATAAACCAACATGTCACTTTTTAGTTACTGCATTTAATTAGCGGCATGGTCTAGAAATGTACCATCAATTCCCATGGTCACCCCAATCCCCGTCAAAGCTACTGTTGCCCTGGCAACAGCTCTTCCTCTATACTAAAGTAATAAAGGCAAAGAGATACTATAAACACATAACACAACAGCCAGTCTGCCTTAGTTGCACTAGAAGGTCTCTACTATGGACAGCGAAAAACACAGACAGAAAGACAAACACAGACAATGACAAGAAAATAAAATCACCCACACAAAGAAGGAATATTGAGTCACACAAGGGGAGGCAAAATACAACAAATATTAATACCATGTCTTAGTGTTGTGTCGGGGTCTGGTGAATCTTTTATTTAAAGTCTAGATTTAAGTGGTAGCTTAGGTAAAAGACATCGAAGTAAACTGTTTCTCTGTGTTTGTCTGTTTCTAGCCACTGACACAAAGCATATGACTCGGGGAGACTGGAATTGGATTTACGAATACAAAAACACAACAAACACTAATCACGTATAGTTGGGAGTCAAACATACGGTAGGGGTCACAAGCTTTTACAATATATTTACCTCCATCTGCAAATCGACTTCTGCTCTGATTAAATATTCAAGAAGCACATCACAAAAAAAGCATGCAAATACACATGAACTGCACAACAGTTTTTTTTTTCCTTTGGTTAAAGTGCAAAAGTAATGAGAGAAATATTGCAGTGTGTGTATGTGTGCACATGTGTACATAACACGGATAGCTTCATTGAAGAATAAAAACGGCAGCAACGTTTAAAAATTTCCATCATAGTTTAATTACAGCATAAAATCTACGAGTAGAATCTTGTTTGAAAAGTACAGCTTTTGTACAACACAGGGATGTCAATGAGAAAATCTAGAATATAGAACAAAATATCTTTCAGTATTTTCACATTTTGCAACAGCACTCAAAAACAGCCTTTCAGTATTTTTCATTTCTACTCAGTGACTGGCTCTGACTATTTCCTGACTTCTGCGAGCCTGCTGCTCTGTCCCGGCTGCTCGCTAGGACAGGGCGTGCTACCTGAAAATGTGGGATTCTGTGGTAGAAAGGATTTGGCATTTAGGAATTCCCTATGTATATACACAGGATATGCACACAACAGGAAGCAGACAGATTCCCAATTGACACCAGTTCTGCTATTCTAAGCACAAAGAAGTTGCAGCTCAGTGTGCTCAAGTGATAATTAGAAGTAAAAACAGGTGAGTAGCTTCTCTTTGGGCATAGTAATCACAGTATGCGTATACACAATAAACCTATTTACTGTAATTGGGTTTTATCAAGACAGTATCTTGTTGCATGTTAAAGGCCTGCTGTAAACGAAAGAGCGAAAATTTTGGCAGAAATTGGTGTGAATTTACATTAGCAATGGGTTTCAAGCCAGTGTTGAAGCTGATTCCAATAATCCTGCTTCTGCCCATCGACATCCTCCACCACCTCTCTTATTATTCTCCTGCATTTGCCTACTTGTCTCTCTTGATCTCTCATTTTCTACCCCGTGCTCACAACCACACCATTATCTATCTGCAGCCGTGACATCACTAAGATCATCCAGAATCTGCCCTTCATTGCCCACTTCCTCTTCAGATGAGGGGTCAGAGGTTAAGAGGGGCCGGAGCCGTGAAGGACCAATTACTGTCCAGCTCCAACCACACTCAGCCGTTGCAAGAATTACAGATCTGGGACAGAAGAGATGGACAGAGAAAGAGAAAATGACACCACCCAACCCCCCCTTCCTAGCTGCTACTGATCTATTGTTTTAGCTGGCTTTGTCTCGTTCAGCACATCCCCTCATCTGTACCGATATGACAGTCTTTGACTGAAAGCTGTCATGTCGCACTGAGTTCAAGATACTGTGCTCAATAGCGGTGGATTTTGGGGTCAAATTCTCAAATCGAATGTTTTTGTTCTGTGTTTCAGTTCTTTTATGACAGTTCCTTCTATCAGCTGAGGCGTACTGCCCCTGGCATCAGTCATATTATCGCCTGGGTTTTTATTCTGTCCTTATGATGCAATGCTACAAAATTCCTGCAGGTGGTGTGGTTGTGTGGGCTGTGACTCAGAGTAATGCCTGGCAGATATCTTTGAATGTCTTTGTGCCCCTAATGCAGGGGTGGACAGAAAGATAAAGATCTCTCTGCCTAAAAAGGAGAGAAGAGTTTAGTCAGACTGGTGGCTGGCGACAGAGAGTGAGACAAGTGGTTAAGGTTGTGGAGGTGGAAACCCCCAATCCCCCCCCCAAATCTCTCAACCCGGCACTGCAGTGGAAAGTAATTCACCTGTTCATGGGTACACTCAGTGCTCACTAAAACTATTCGCTCAGTCTAAAAAGACCACATATATTTTCAGTCAAAGGTTTGTTTTAAACGTATCTCTCTTTTTTTTTGCATAGCAGTTGTGCAGTTTTGACACATTAGTCGTCAGTTTGAGTCACCATTAAAAAAAAAAAATAGTGACATAAAACTTTGCAAGCAATAGAAAAAGTCCCTAGATATTTATATCCGTAATCAACAGACATATGATTTTAAAAGGAACTCTTACTTTGTTACTGCGATGACACCACAGAGTATTTTTGGCATGAACGTAAAACACATTTGAGGATACACGACTAACTGATGGGTAGGAAATTGTGTAGCGTGCTGCCTGTAATTCCACTCTCAGTTTTCCACATTGATACTGTGATTGTGATTGTCAACCTTCATCTGTTGCGTTACTCGCCACAGTGGGTCTATAGTCCCACCCTGAGACATTTCCATTCCAATGTTGCCTCCCAGTATAGCTCCTGGCACTGACCCCACCTGGCAGCACACCTTTACATGTGTGGCCAGGTTTTTCTGGGTGCTAAAAGCCTTGGCACAGGCAGGGCAGGTGTGCCCTCTTTCTTTGGAGTGAACGGATGACAGGTGCCTGTGTAGGTCTGTGCGGTCTCTAAAGTGTTTCAGACAGTACACACACTGCATCAACTTCTTCTTGAAGTGGATGGTCTTCTCGTGTCGGTCCGCATTAGATTTGAGAGTGAAGCTGGCGGGGCACTGCGAGCACAGGTACCGCGCCGGTGCAGGCTCAGCTACCGCAGGCCGGTATAAAGACTGAAAGGGAAAAGGATGATTTTGCGGATGTTGATGGGGCTGGGTTGGTTGGTGGTGCGGACCTTGGATGCTCGGCCAGTCAAGGGACAAGGCCATCAGAGATAGGGTGTGGCGGTACTCGTGCTCCCTGAGATGCTCCAGGCTGCGGAACAGCCGTTTGCACAGGGAGCAGGCGAACCCCTGTGAGGGCCAGGCACCGTGCTCTGGCACAACCCTTTCCCCTAATCCAGCCTCTTCACCCAGCCCAAGCAGCCCTTTAGTCCCTCTGCCAACCACAGGCACTGACGCAGGCACAGTCAAGCCACCCGCACAACTCCCCTCGCCCATCTGATCCCTCTCGACAGGAGACTGGTCACCTTCCAAGGCTGAAATAGTGAGAAGGATGGTGAGAGTGAAAGTCAGAGAAATAATGAGGTACAATAAGCACAAGCTTAAGTTATCACGACTATTAAATTGTGACAACTTTTATAGCATACTCCATACCTGTGTTGTATTCTTTCGTGTCTTCTTTGTCTTTCGTGCCCTCCTGTAAGCGCAAAACATACCGTTATGTCACACAGGCATATTTATACAGCCTGTATGGAATGTTGTCTGGACATGCAAGAGGAAGGAAGATGGTACAAGCTGTGAAGGCAAGCTTATTTAAAAAAATAATTGTAAGAAATGGAGAAACAAAGACATGGAAGCAGAAAATTAAAAAGTAAAGCAAAACAAGGTCATGATTATTCAACGACTTTGAAACTGGAAAGCAAACAGAGAAAAAAATAGTAAATCATTTCTGGATGCTACAGCTGTCTCATGGGCACAGAATGAACAGTTATGCTGAGCTACAGTGTTAATAAATGAATTACAGGAGAGATACTCATAAACTCAAAACTCTCTTGGGTGTAAGCAAGGTGCACCTAAACACCCGTCCCCACACTTTCTTTCCTTCGGCAACTAAACTAAACTCCACTCTTCTTCTTCTACTCCATGCTCCTGCCATTCCTTCACCCCCGCCCATTTGCTCAGCCCCTACACTCCTCCTCCTCCTCCTCCTCCTCCTTCCTCCTCTCTAAGAACAGAACACCATGCACTGGGCAAACAGATGGCTTGTCCGTAGAGATAGGGAGGCTTGTTGGGAGGCAGGTCCACTGAAATCAAATGCTGCTCCTAAATGCTCACCCGCACACACAGCGCACACACATAGACTGGCACAAAACTCACTGCTACACATGCTCATATTGCCATGCTCTCTCTTACACACACACACACACACAAACACACACACACACACACCCACTCTCTCACTCACACACTGAGAAGAACAAACAATCTCCTGGGCTGCGAGAGCAAACCTCTCATTGTCTACTTGTATTGATTCTACTCACTCTCATCACACTACCTTGCCTGTTATCTGCCATCTCTAAGCACACGCTGCCATTGTGACTAGACGTGTCATCACTAATGTAACTACTACGGACTACATTACCACTAATGTTGAGCAAAGACATTTCTGGCTTGAAGGTGAATTCAAGTCTAACTATATTAAAAGATTATTTGAGAAGGGAGACATGAGCGAAGAACTGGCAATCTGAAAGGAAGAGAAAAGCAAACAAAGCATACAGAAAAGAAAGAGCAAACAAAGGAAAAAAATAGCATTTCTTCTCCAGCGAAGCAGGAAATATGCCAAATTCCACAAAGAGAATGAGCTACAGAAAGGAATTGAGCAATGATGTGCTAACATTTTAAAAAGAACTCTCTCTGAAATAAGGGTAACATCCCCATTAACCCCCAATTC